GGGGGGGGAGGGGGGTGGCAGAGCTCAACTCTTCTCGACAGACTCCCTACTCAGGAGAGCGGCTCTCACACCAGGTCGTCGCCGTCGCCACCGCCGAGCCGCACCCGAGCATGGTCTCGTCTGCGTCGCTCGACAAGACGGTGGCCTGTGGGACCTTCTGGGAACCTTCTAGGAACCTTCTAGGTCTCGTCTGCGTCGCTCGACAAGACGGTGGCCGTGTGGGACCTTCTGGGAACCTTCTAGGAACCTTCTAGGTCTTGTCTGCGTCGCTCGACAAGACGGTGGCCGTGTGGGACCTTCTGGGAACCTTCTAGGAACCTTCTAGGTCTTGTCTGCGTCGCTCGACAAGACGGTGGCCGTGTGGGACCCGCGCGCGTCGTCCGGCGCCGGCGCCAAGCCCGCCAGCACCGTCGCCCTCCCCGAGCGCGCGCTCTGCCTCGACTTGCGCTGGCCGCATGCCCTTGTCGGCACCGGCGCCGCCGCCGCCGGCGCGCAGCTCATCGACTTGCGTTACGCGCCGGCTGAGGCAAAGCCGCTCAAGCTGCACCAGTCGGTGAGCCGGTTCCCGCCAAGGTCGGTCGCGCTCTTCCCGGGCGGCGAGGGCTTCTGCGCCGGCAGCCACGACGGGCGCGTCGCCGTGCACTTCCACTCCTCCTCGGCCGGCGGCGCGGCCGGCGCGGCGGCGGCGGCGCCCAAAGCGAAGGCGCCGTGGGGGGAGGACTTTTCGTTCAAGTGCCACCGGCAGGGGGCGGACAAGGACCGGATCTACGGCGTGGGCGCGCTCTCGTTCTTCCCGGCCAAGCCGCACCTCCTCGCCACCGCCGGCTCAGACGGGGAGTGCCACCTCTGGGACCTCAAGCGGCGGCACAAGACCGCGCACCTACTCAAAGCGTCCACCGCTGGCTCGGGCGCGCCCGTCGCGCTGCCAGCCATCGCCTTCTCGCGCGGCGGCGACATGCTCGCGTACGCCCGCTCCGACGACTGGTCGGGCGGCGCGGCTGCGTACGAGGCGACGCGCGGCGCGGGCCACGCCAACGACGTGCGCATCTTGCTGCTGGACCCGTCGGGCTGGGAGAAGCGCGAGGCGGGCTGAGCTGAGTTTTTTCGGAGGCCACAAACGGACACTCTACCGACCTTTACACCCCTAGAAGCTAGATAATCCACCCCGACACATTTTTTGTGTATATAGGCATTTGCCCAATATTTGCTTGCTTGGGCGGTTACTCGTAGAGGGGTTACTTTTTATATGCCAATACTCGTGACCCCCTGTGGCCTGGCCCTGGGCGGCGCCCAGGGGGAGGGGGCTCCTGCAGAGTCCAGCGAGACCCGGAACTGACTGCACAGACTGGCCACCTGGCGTGTCGTCTAAGTTCGTGAGTCCGATCACCAGCGTCTAAGTTTGAGAGCCCGTCTCCTTCCGGGGGCTTAAGTTCAGCGCTCGCCTGCGCGCAGGTCTAAGTTTTGGGCAACCCTCTACCCCTACTACCGACTAGTCTACCCAACCAAAACGCAGACGACGGGGAGAGCAGCACCGCGCGGCGAGCGGCGACGTGGTTATTAACGCGGAGGAGGTATGGGGTGATATGGATTTCATACACGCCGAGCGCGCAGGCGCGGCATATCGGAGACAATAGGGGGATCCGGCGTGAAAGAGCTATCGAAATCGACCTTGACCCAGCCGATTCCACCGATGTCGACGCCGTCACCTCCGCGGCTACCGCGCTCTCGCTCGACGGCACCGTGGAGAGAATCAAACCGAAGACCTTGCCGAGGCGATGGGCCGGGTGGGTCACGTTGGACCCCGACCCCGCCCCCACCCCTCGTGGGGGCACCCGCCCCTGCCGGGCACCGCTTATTGCGGCGCCTGGCAGGGGCACCCCCTGGGTGGGGGCCGGCGATTCCCATGCCGGCTCTCCGCCACAACCCCCGCCGGGAGGGAATCCCTGCTCACAGAAAAGGGCTCCGAGCCTTGTCTCGCGCACGCCCCTGGCGGGCGCCGCGGACCAGTTCCGCGAGCGCTCGTCAACGGGTGGTGTGCGGTTCTTGCCGTAGTTCCTCTTCGGTCGCCTAGCCCCGGCGCCGTCTGTCGGACGCCTGCGTGTCACGAGTGCGAGCCGCTCGCGGTTCGTACGCCCGCTTGCGGGTTCGAGTGGCGGGCCATCCCGCTTGCGGGATGGCTTAGCGGGTTCGAGCCGTCACACATTGGCTGCCGGGGTGTGCCGAGGGGGGGCTGGTGGGCGGTAAGCCGTCATTGCCCGGCGCTGCTTGCAGCGCTCTGGGTGGTGGTGTCGGCGCTCCAAGAGTGGCACTTTTGGGAAGAGGTTCTTCCTTTCCGCTCCCCCCCAAGGCGCGAGACACACACGAATTCTTTAAACTAGCTGCAAACCCTTGGCGCACGCATATCTTGGATGGCCGGCATGGGGCCTGAGGCGTCGCCCATGCTTGCCATGTGCGAGTGGATGGTAGAATGCACCAATAGGCACGTCGCGCAAGGTCGGGATCGCAAGTTATGCCCGCATCAAGCGCCAGTTTAGAGTCGTCCAGAGTCGTGGCATAGAGTTGTTTGGTATTGCTAAAAATCTCACACGCCGTGGCAGGCCGTGTAGCCACTGAGATGGTCTTATGACGACCCCGTTTCGACATCGTCCCCAAGGCCTCTACCCATGAGCTCCATGCGGGAATGACTGGCTCAACCAAGACTGATCACAAATTCCCACGATATCTCACAAAGCGCGAAATTCTTCCTCGTGACAGCATAATTCGACGACTTCGATGTTGCAGAGAGAATTTGTGATCAGTTGGTTGAGCCAATCATTCCCGCATGGAGCTCATGGGTATAGAGGCCTTGGGGACGATGTGTCGAAACGGGGTCGTCATAAGGCCATCTGAGCAACCACGCCGTCCGCCGTCGCAGCACAATCGCCAGGGTGGCGAGCGCCGCACACAGCACTGCTCGTGCCGGTCAAGAGAGACGCGCCGGTCACAAGCACATCTAGCGCGTCCTTAGCTTTGATGCTGTCTGTCGGTCCCGGGTAGCCTCGGGCGCGCCAAGGGTTATCCATCGCGTCCGAGTCCCGTCGTTCATGTTGATATCGATTGTCATTGAGGTCCTAAAATCGACTCCTGGGTTGGCTGGCCCCGAGAGCTGCGTCTCGAGCTCCCGGTGCCGTTGCCAGACGACCCCGAGCGTCGGCGCCCAAATAAGGCCCCGACGCTCGAACACACACACGAACACTACAAACCGTCTGCCAGGGAGGGAGGGTGGGGCAGACGAGAACGGGACTCGGGCGCCTGGGGGCGCGAGGGTCCGACACACGAGTTCCGCGCACGGACGGACGTAATGATCCGGCCATCGCGTCACGTTTCCACACCTTACGGTGGGGGTTATTCTGTGTCGGTTCCTCTCCTCGCGTTGTTGGATAACCTACATAGCCGCTGCGCGGCTATCTCCGATTATCCATCGCGTCCGAGTCCCCGTCGTTCATGTTGATATCGATTGTCATTGAGATTGGTCCTAAAATCGACTCCTGGGTTGGCTGGCCCCGAGAGCTGCGTCTCGAGCTCCCGGTGCCGTTGCCAGACGACCCCGAGCGTCGGCGCCCAAATAAGGCCCATCGCGCCGATTGCCGGGGAAGTCGATACCAGTGAGTCTCAAACAGGCCCATCGACGAAGTTGGGGTCGTGAGCCAGCGCTGACGGCTCGTCTCGTCGCCGCCGCCGAGGAAGAGCTCGTGAACCCCGACGCGCAGTCCAAAGGCGTTGAGCGGAAAGACAAACACCATGATGGCGGTCATCGCCCCCTGCACGGCGGCGACGAGCGCCTCCGGCACCAGCTCCAGCCCGCGCGGCGTGCTCAGCGACACGAGCACATTCTTGTCAACCGCCATGCCAAAGGCGTGCGTGCCGCCGACGGCGATGGTTGCATAGAGCAGGAAGCACGTGCCGCCCGCGATTCGCATCCCGGTCTGCAGCTTTTCCCGCTTGGTCGCCCACTTGGAATCGCTCGGGTCCCGCCGTAGCTCTTGCAAGACAAACGGGACGTTTTGGTGGAACTGAAAGGCAAAGGTGACGACCGGCGTCGAGCGCATCCACGCGAGGGGCGACAGGCCGATCCAGGGCACGGGGTCGACGTCGCCCTTCTCCTCGCTCGTGGCTACGGCTGCCAGCACGACGCTTCCCACGATTGCGAATTGAAGCACGACCGACGAGACCGACGTGAACTTGAGAGCCTCCATCGAGGGGAGAGCGCAGAGCGGGACAAGGAAGACGACGGCTCCAGCGAGCATCAGCGCCGTCGCCTGCTGTCCGAGCCAGCTGCCGCCTGCGGCCGTGCAAGTGTGCGATCGGCGAGGCGAGGCTGACTGAGCGGTATGGGAAAGGAGAGGCTGTGGGCGCGCCAACAGCGAAGGTGAGGACCGTCGGAAAGAGCTGCTTGATGACGACGAGGCCGCCGATGCAGGCGCCAAAGCAGTACAGCACGAGGACGACGCCGGTGAGGTAGCCTCCGGCGCGGCCAAATACGGCATTGACGATCTCCGTGTAGAGGTTCTCGCCCGAGAGCTCCGCGGCGATCCCGATGAAGGACGCGCTCCGCTCAGTGATGAACCAGACGAAAGCGAGGAGGAGAATGCCGCCCACCAGGCCGACATCCGTCAGCACGTGCGGAATGGCGAGGATGCCCGTCCCGAGCGCCGTGCACGCACAGTTGAAGGTGACGGCGCGCAGGCTGGAGGTGCCAGACACAAGGAACGCGCTCGACGACCGCTCAACCGCTTTCCCAGCGGCGAGGCCGTCGCCGAGCCCCGGCTCGCCGCGGGCCGGGCTGCCACTGTCGGTGCGAGCCTCCCTTGGCAGGAGCTTCACGTCCATTGGCGCCTCGCTCGGCGTTGTAGCACCGTTCTCGGCAAGCCCGCGGCTCCCGCGTGGACGGACGAGTTGCCCGCGAAACTGGTTGATAAAAGCAAATTCCCGTAGCCCCGCTGTGCGTTTGGGGGGGGGGGGGGGGGGGGGCTGCCCAGCGGGGAACGTGGTATGGAAAACCCATTCGTGAGTCGGTCCGGGAGGGGGGGGGGAGAAAAAGAAAAAGAATTGGCGCCTGGCGCTTCGCAGACTCGGACTGGCCTACTGGCACTACACAAGGCACGCTCCACGCGCCGGCCATCGTGATGCGCTGCACGCGATGGCAGGCGTCCGTCTCCGTGTCCGCGCTCGTCGTCGTTGCGGCCGTGTTTCTTCATGCACAGCTGGCCGACGACAGAGTGCCAACCGGAGGAGACCCGTACTCAATCCTCGGCCTCGCGAATGGCGCCAGCCAGCAGCACGTCACAAAGGCGTACCGCTCGCTCGCGAAACGGTGGCATCCCGATCGCATGCATGGCGACAAGGATGTGTTTGCGCTCGTGGCTCACGCTTACGACGTGCTCACCGACCCGGAGAAGCGCGACGTGTTCGATCGGCTGGGCGCGCGAGGGCTCGAGAGGCTGCGCGACGGCGACCCGTCCGTCCGCAAGGACTGGCTTTCGGACGCGGAGATTCTGCGCCGCGTGCACAACGACGGCGAGGAGGGTTGGCTCGACCGGCTGGTCACTTCGGGCTTTGCGTCGCTGAGCGCAGGGGCGGCCGCCTGCAGCCGGCGGCTCGCACCGAGCCTCCGGTGGCTCACCGGCAGGGAGTGGCCGTCGGTGGTGATCACCGCCTCGGACGGCGACGGTTCTGCTCTCTACTCTGGCGGCGCCACCCGTGGCGGCGCGTCTGCACGCGGTGCCGGCGCCGGCCCGTGCAGCCGCCGGCGAGTCCTTGGCCTCGCGACCGGGAATAGGCGCCACGTTTCGGTTCGACCTGTCGGGGAGGTCGTCCGACTTTGAGCTGAGAGACGTGACCCGCCCCGATGATGCTCGGGGCGCAGCCCCCCGCAGACCTGGGGGCGCCATGTCGGCCTCCGCCCCGGTGCAGGTGACGCACAACTGCGACGCTGCGCGCGCAAAGTTTCTTGGCATCAAGGCGACCTACTACCTGCAGTGCGCGCACGAGCCGGGGCGCTCCATCGCGGTGCACGTCGCGCCTCGGACTTTCACCGTCGCCGACCGAACCGGCGATAACACCGCGTCCAACTTGTTTGAGCTGGAAATGGTGTGAGGAGAGAGGAGCATATACATTCGTGAAACGTGTGTTTGTAGTTGAGAGTTTTGGCTTTTGCGGAAAGCCCGGAGCCGGAGATTTCGCCCCCGGCCCCGCGCCCCCTGCCCCAGACATGTACATGTACATGTCATGTGAGGAGTATATTACACGTGCGGCGGGGCAGACCCGAGCGCAATCCGCAAACAGAATCAGAAACACCCAGGCCCGGTTCGCGGTTGCCACCCCAGGATTAGTCTTCTCTGCCTGCGGGAACACCCTCGGCCGGCCGGGTGGGACTGCGGCTGGAGCTAGCATGGCTCGATAGAGCCGAGACCCCGTGTTGAGGCGGGGCGCTCCTTCGGGCGGCTCGTGGTGGACAACGACAAGAGCACAAACGAAGCAAGTGAGTGATGAGATGTCAGAGATCAACAACATAGAGAGCCGAGTACAGCAAGAGAAACATGGCGCACGCACACTCGTGTGGCAGTCATATACCGATGCTAAGAGCTAAGTGCGCACATGCAGTTCGCACTCTGGCAGAGGGAGCGCCTCAGGGGCGCTCACAGCTCTCCCGTCTCTTACTGCTGAGAAGTGTGGCGATCGCTGCTCCTGCGGCCGAGCCCGGTCGTACCGGTTGCAGAGCCCCTCAGCCCCGACGCCCTTTTGTCTTTTAGCAGAAGCGCTCGAGCCACTTGCACGGCCGATAAATGACGTTGTCCAGCGCTTGCGCGGCCTGCTGCACGCTAATCTTCCTCGAGGCCATCGCGGAGAGGGCGGTGGCCCTCTTGACCAGGTTCTCGCCCTCGAGCCGCTCGCCCGACGTCAGCGCGGGGCAGATGTGCCCTGCCTTGGGCTGCCCGCACCGGCCGCACCGGTAGCCGTGCCCATCCCCCTTGTCTTTCCGCACCTGCTGAGCCTTCTCCATGCGCTTCCACCTGATACACAGAGCGGCGCGGGCGAGGTTAGTGCGGCGAGTTGCGAGGCACGCTCTGCGCGGCATTTTGCCCGGGGCTGAGTGCGCGCACCGATTGCGGACACCATTCTCGGTCCGCCCGGGCAGCGCCGCGGCGATGCGGTTCCAGCGCTTGCCGATCGTCTCGACCAGGTCGACGATGAGCAAGTCCTCCTCGACCGTCCACATAGCGGGCTGCTCCTTCTCCTGGCTCCCGACCCGAGCGGCAGCCGTGCCCGACTGCGCCGCGGCGAGGAGCTGCTCCACGTCGTCCATGCTGGCGAGCGCCCTCGATTCGTATCGTCCGATCCACACTTGCGCAGCGACAGTGCCATCGCCTGTTGCGACGGACGGCAGTGGCGGCTGCGGCGGCAGCGAGCTCATCTCATCGTGCTGCTTCGCCTCAAAGATCGGGACGTTCTCTTCCCTCGCTTGGTTCTGCGCCTCGAAGCGGCCAGCGACGAGCGGCTTCACGGCGCCATTGGTGTGCGCCGCGTTCGACACGTAGCTTCCGCTGCGGCTCGAGAACGCAAAGGCAAGCAACTCTGTCGCCACCACCGCTGGCAGTGGCCCCGGCGTTCCGGCCTCGGACCCCGTCCTTGACCGCGCTCTCTTGCCGCCCTCGGGGCTTCCCGCCTGCCGCCCAGGCATGAACAGCATCATCGCCGCGGCGCCCTCCTCGTCGCTCTCGTCGATCTGCAGCTCAGTGTCGCTCCCAGAGTGGCCCCCGGTGTCGCTGCCAGAGTGCCGCCGGAGCATCTCGCCGCTCTCGTTGGCCTGCAGGTGCCGCTTTCGCTTTTTGTTCCTCGCTGCCTGCGAGTACCACGGCGTGCCCGCCTGCCCCCCCTCGCACGACGCCCAGCGCGAGGCTTGCCCCTCCCCCCAGCTGTCGTTGTGGCCGAGCCGCTGCACTGCCGTGCGCGCGCGCTTGGCAGCCCCCTCCGCCAGCAGGCCACTGCTGCCCTCGCCGCCTTCCGTCTCGCTCTTGCTCCTGCAGCTTGGGCAGATCAGCAAGCCGAGCACCCTCCTCGGTCGCGACTCGCAAGCCGCGTGGAAGGTGTTGCAGCCGTCGCAGAGCCACGACGCGTTTTGAGCGCTGGGGCAGAGCGCCTCCGGTCTGGGCGGTGCGCGCGAGAGCATGACGGCGCTCACAGCTCACAGCGGGCTGTGCGAGCCGCCCTGCCCCGAGGACCAAGGTCTCAAAGATACCGACCTCGAGATTCAAAGCTCGGCGTTCAAACGTAGTGGCGCCGTTCACAAAGACGCCCCACCAGAAAAGTGTTGACCTTGTGTGTGTGTGTGTGTGTGTGTGTGTGTGAGTGTGTGTGCGCATGGAGGCAACCGATGCGAGTCGACTGGTGTGTGTCGTCGTGGTTTCGTATCAAGAATACTCACTCACTCACTGTGTGTGTGTGTGTGTGTGTGTGTGTGTGTGTGTGTGTCTGTGTGTCTGTGTTTGTGTGTGTGTGTGCGCGCGCGCGCGCTGCGCTCTTTGAACTTGGTTGTCCTATTGTCCTATTCCAGATGTACACCAAGGGAATGCCACGCCGTTGGCCACGAAAAGCTTGTTACCGGAGTGCATCTGGAACTGAATGTAGGTGGAGTTGCGCAGGACGGTCCGCTTGACGCGCTCGATCACACGCTGTTTCGGCGGCGCGGCGCCCCCGTCGGCGGGGTCCTCGCTCCACACGCGTACATAGTAGCAAGTGCATGTATGTGCCCCCCTTCTCGACCACGGGTCGCGTTCCCGCGGTAAGTGCCCTCCGCACGCCCGACAACTAACCTGTCTGGGCGCGCGGGCTGTTGTTGTGGATCTTGTAGTGAGGCCTACGGAAGGCCGGCGGCCGGCTCGTGCAGCTCGATCACCTCCTCCCACACATTGGGATTTTCGGTCTTCTTCTCGAACTGCACGCCCACAGCTCCAGCAAAGCAGCCGGTGCCGCCGGTGATCGTGTAGCTCCCGTCGCCCACCTGGCTGCCAAACGTGCCGTACGACACGTTGGGGTCCTCGCGCTCATACCAGTAGGGTCCTTGCATGGCAATCGACGAGCCCGCCAAGGGACCAGCGTCCCACTTGAAGTTGGAGATGCAGAGCTGCGTGCGAAGGCAGCTCTGCTCCTCGCAATCTGTGCCCTCGAGCAGAGCGACTGTCACGCAGTAGCCAAAGGCCCAGCCGACGATGTCGGCCGTGACGTCGTTCACTTCGCGCAGCGGCGCGTACCAGGTCGTGGCGTCGCCGTACCACTTGCCGGGACCATTCGTCTCTGAGATGTAGCCCCCTTTAGAGTCGGTCACGTAGGCCTGCGCGACGGCGTCGGGGTTGGGGACGCCTGGCGAAATGAGGAGGTCGTAGGCTTCGAAGAACGAGACCGTCTTCTTCCCACCGTCGGAAACGAAGATGTCATCGCACGTCTTCTTCTTCTCTTCCAGCTGGACCACCTCTCGCCACGTGTTACGGTCCAGGGTCTTCTGCTCAAACTGCGTGCCCACGGCGCCGGCAACGCATCCGGTGCCGCCGATGATCGTGTAGCTCCCGTCGCCCACCTGGCTGCCAAACGTGCCGTACGTTGCGTCGGGGTCCTCGCGCTCGTACCAGTAGGGCCCTTGCATGGCAATCGACGAGCCCGCGAAACGCCCGGCATGCCAGACGAAAGAGGAGATGCAGAGCTGCGTGCGGAGGGTGTCGAGGGGCGGCGAATTCGTTTCGCTCTTTTCTAGAGCGACTGTCACGCAGTAGCCATTGGCCCAGCCAACAATGTCGGCCGTGACGTCGTTTGCTTCGCGCAGCGGCGCGTACCAGGTCGTGGCGTCGCCGTACCACTTGCCGGGCCCCGTCGATGCTGTAGTGCACTCTCCTTTCGTGTTGGTGACGTAGGCTTGTGCGTTGGCATCCGGGTTGTGCGCAGTGGCGCCACACTGCTGGGCAATCAGGTCGTAGGTCTCGAAGAAGCTGGTGTTCATGCCCTCGTCCCACAGGCAATCTTTGGTGGGGTTTGGCATCGAATTCATCGCCCGAGCGCGGGCAGGTGGCTTCGGCTGAGACGCAGGCGCCAGCCAGATGACCTCCTCAAACACATTGGGGTCGTTGGTCATCCGCTGGCCCACCATGCCAATGGCTCCAGCAAAGCAGCCGGTGCCGCCGGTGATGGTGAAGTTCCCGCTGCCCGCCTGGCTGCCAAACGCACCGTACATTTTGCCCGGCTCCTCTCGATCGTACTTGTACGGGCCGGACATCACCAGCGTCGAGTCCTTGAAGCGCCCAGCATGCCACTCGAAGTTGGACCAGCAAAGCTTCGTGCGGTTCTCCGCCGTGTTGGACTGCAGCGCGACGGTGGAGCAGTACCCATAGGCCCGCCCGACGACTTCAGTCGAAGTGTCCGCCGACTCCCGCAACGGCGCGAACCAAGTCGAAGCGTCGGCATAGAACTTGCCGGGGCCCGTGGTGGTGGTCCACTCGGCCTGCTGCTTGTTTGTGATGAAAGCCTGCGCAGTCGGGTCTGCAGCTGTCAAGTCGAACGCTTCAAAGAAGGAGACCTGTGTTTCGCCGGCCGCCAAGCACCGACCTCCGACGGTGCCGCCACCGCCCTCCGACGAGGCGAAAGCCACGACGCTGAGCGGCAATGATGCCAGCACAAGAGGAAGGAGGGGGCGCATCTTCATCGTGTGCACCTGCAGGCCAGAGAGAGGGGCGCTTGGCCGGCGGGAAGGCTACTGATTCTGGGCGCGGGGCCGGCGGGGCAGGAGGCTGGCGTCTTTGGGCGCGATGCTTGGGCGCGAGCAGGGAGGGCGGGCGAGGAGGCGGGCGCGGCGTGCTTTGCGCGGCGGGCCATATGAGCGGACGGCTAAATCTCGCCTGGATCTCGGCTAATCTCCTCTGATTGCTGCACATCGTAATCGGGCCATCAAGTGCTCCTTCTCTCTGCTCTGAGCGTCTTTGCGGGCCGTGAAATTGGGGAGGGGGAGGGGAAAGCGGGCCGCACCTACTCGCAGCGTACACAACTTGAGTCCCAGCGCCAAGGAACTCCGCGGCACACCCGCCTCGCTCACGTTGTTTTGGATCTGCGAGGCGCGCAGGCGGCGGAGGGCGCGTCAGCAGCGTAAAATGAGATGAGCATGGCACGGGTTTGGTTCGGGCGTCGCGGGAGCGCAGAAGGCATGGAGGCGACCCGCGGCGCCGCGCTCAGCAGCGCTCCGACCGGCAATCCGATTGTGCCAGATTGCCTCGATCCTCGGAACCGCTCGCGCGGCGGTCGCAGCACGGCGGGCAGCCCGGCACGAGCGCGCTGCAGCGCTTGACACGCGCCGCATCGCGCGGGGCGAGGGGAGGAGGCGAGGAGGGAGGGGCAGGGGCATTCCTGAGTGCGAGGGGGGGTTTCGTTGAGTGCAGCTCTCACCGACGGAGCTCAAAAAGAGCGCCTTGGGCACTACTCTCTCGAGGTCTCGCTGATCTTTTCCATCAACCCCCCGACGGCGACGGGGCAGGGGCAGCAGCATTCCTGAGATTGCGTGTCGTCGATGTTTGTGTTTCGGTCACGGACCTAAGTGCCTCGCCTTCCTCGCAGGAGTAGCATAGGCGGCTCCGGTGGTGTACCTGTGTTTCTTAGTGCCAGTGCGCGCCAGCCCATGCCTAGTGTCGTGCGAGGGAGTTGGTCAAATTCTTTTGTGTTTGTGTTTGTGCCTCCGTCATCTTCAAGAGTATCAAGTATCAAGACGGAGATCGTCGTCATCTCTTCGCTCTCGCCCGACTACCACACCATCACGCCGCCAGACGTGTGGAAGGCGCCGAGATTAGCCGAGAAACGAGGCCTCCTCGATGCCACGCTCGCAGCCTGCCCCACAGCTCCCAGATAGTTCCGCCGAAATATCCGAGCGAGTCGCCGTGCGAGAGGAGAGTGGGGTAACCTGGTTTGTGGAGCTCCCGCAGATGTCTAGACAGTCCTGAGCCTGTCCAGACAGCGTCCAGACAGCGTCCAGACAGCGTCCAGACAGTGTCCAGACAGCGTCCAGACAGCGTCCAGACAGTGTCCAGACAGCGTCCAGACAGTGGCACATGGCTCCACTCTTCACAGTCAAGTCTCGTAGTCGTGGCTGGACGACACTGACAGCACCCCTGGCGCTGCCGATGGCCGTTAGGCGAGAGCGGCTCGTCTCCCGGTCATCGCTCACACTTGAACCCCCGCTTGTCGTGGCGCCCGTGGGCGCCACAGCAGGAGGCCCTCTTGGCATATCATGCCAACATCCACCCGAGTTCCCTCGTATTGTCCATGGAAGCCCACGGCCGTGCGACGCGTCGCACGGCCCATCCATGCAGCTTGGCCGGATTTCCACAGGCAGTGCCTCGATGCACAGCCACTGGAGAGAACCCAGGCGGACTGGGTTGCTCTGCTCCGAGGGCGGTGACCCGCTCGCTATAGGGGCTGTCTCAAGCGGCATCTTTGACCCGTCTTGCAACGTCTCTGCCAGCGTGCGCCGGCGTCTCTGCGGTACCGGGCTGCACCACGGCGAGCCTTGTGAGCTCCCCACTGTTGTGACCTCGGGCCCGTGGCCCTTTCCCAGGCCCTCGTGCTGGCGTACCAGCGAACCGGAGACTGTGGCGAGGTCTTCTCGGTACGAGAGACATTCGCCTTTGGCGCGACTGCTCCAAACGGGGCTGTGTGCGCGTGCTGCCCAGCGTCAGAAGGCATGGTCGGCGGGGTTGGAGAGATGCTCCACGGCGACCTCACCCTTACGGACAAGCGCGGCTGGAACGTGTACCGCACGGGATCGAACGGTGGCAGCGCTGACGGCGACGGAGGCAGCTGGGGGCAGGATGATACCGGCGGCGGCGGCAGGGCACCGGCGGCGGCGGCGCTTGTTGGGGCCAGGCTGACGCTGGCGGTTACGGTGATCAGGCTGCTGACACGTACTCCGGCCAAGGCTCGTCCAGCGATGGATGGGGCGCCGCCGAAGGTGGTGATGGCTGGGAGTCACCGGCACCGGCGCCGGTTGCAAACGGCGGCGGCTGGGGTGGAAACGCCGCCGCTGGACAGGGCTCAAACGGCGGCTGGGGCAGTGCTGGAAACGATGACCCTTGGGGCCGGCTCTGATGCATGCCTATCTGGCGCATGATGACGTTCACTGTCAAGCGCGTCTACTAACCGCGCCGCTATGGCGGGTGGTCCGCCGGTCAGGGGCCGTGCCGGTGGGTGTCCGGGCGAGCCGCCGCCTAGGGGGTTGCCCTGATGTGGTTTTCTCGAAGGCAAAGAAGGGGAGGCATTTTTGTAATATGAAGAGAGAGAAAACGAGGGCAGTGCCCGCAAGAACTCCCGACCTCATAAGCACGCGGCCAGCTGATGCCGGGTCCGGCAAAAAGTTTTGTTTCGCGACGGGTTGGTGGGGCCCCTCAGCCCTAGGAGCACCCCGGGGTTCGATTTCCGGCCGGCGTGCGGCGAGAGGTTTTCGGACAACGAAAAGTGGTTGGGCACTGGGGTGTGCACCAATCGACGACATGTACATGTTGTTGTCCAACAACAACAACAACACGACATGTACAACATGTGCTGGCGCATGCGGTGGACGCGGGACAGATGATGTCGACACGCACGAGCGACACACAGACACAAACAGGCTCACAAGACACACAGCCAGCTGGCTGCCACACACCCTGAGTTGGCGTACGCATCACTCACCAGGGCCACATCCCCCCTGTCGCCCCCCCAGCACTCCAAGGTGCCAAGGGCACAAACAACAGCACAACAACACAGACAGGCGACAGGGGCGAACGTGGGAGACTAGAGCAGGCTTGCTCCGCCTCTAGCAATCTAGCCGGCCGCAAGGCCGGACAAGACCGTGTGTGGGGTCATGTGAGCTGTCTATGGACGCTCCCTCACAGGCTAGCGCACTGGCACCAACACAGGTACACCGTCAAAAAGAATTTGGCAGCCCTCGCACAACACGGGGCACGGATGTACACCACACGAGCCGTGGAGGTGATGCTGCACCAGCGCGATCGGCTGATGGCACGTCGGCTGAGGCAGGCCTGTCCGCGGGGCGTGGCAGTGGCAGTGGTGGGCCTGGCGCACATGGACGGCGTCGAGAGGGAGGTGCTGGCGCAGGAGGACCTAGCGGCGGAGAGGTAGTACATGGAGAGACTGAGACCAAAAACATCGCACCCACCGAGCACCGAGCCGTACTCTATTTTTCCGTACCATTCCGTACTCAAATTTTCAGTTTCATCTTTTTATTTTGCTCGCGCGCATCGAACACGGAACAGGGTCAGGGAATTAGCGACGAAACACCCCCAAAACCAAAACCCCAAAAGTAAAAACATCTCCACACTGTACTCAGACGTAGCAATGTCACCGTATAAGCGAGGCGTGCATGCTGGCCTCGCCTGTGTCCCGTACCGTACTGTGGACTTAGCGGTGCAGCGCTAGTTATATTCGCGTCATAACCGTTCGCGATGTGGGGCGGCTCCGCGCTCAGCTTGGAAACGCCACGGTCACCTCGACGACCGTGCACGTAGCCCCCTCGCCCAGCTTGAGCACCTCCCTCCGTTTCGTCGGCTTGAGGTAGGTGAGCGGCGGGAAGAGCACCTCGCGCTCGCCCGGGAAGGCGGAGAGGAAGGCGATGTCGGCGCCGCGGTCCATGAAGGAGGAGGTGCGCAGCTTGAGCAGCAGGCTCGCCTGACTCGCAGAGTACTTGAGCGCGACCACGATGTCCGTCGTCGTCGACATGCACGCCAGCTCGGAGCCGCCCCGGCGCTCAAAGTCAGCGGTGACGCGCATGTCCCGCATGCCGCGGAAGAGGTCGGCCGGCTCGTGCGCGCCGGCGACGCGGGCCCCGACCGCGCGCAGCTTCTTGATGCCGTCCGAGAGCTTGAGGATCGTCACGGGGAAGGGGTGCGCCTCCTTGCGCTTCGTGTTGCGCAGCGGCACGTTGAGCGATCGGTACGCGTTGGTCGTGTACATACGGAGCGCGAGCACGTGGCCCGCGTCGAGGCCGGCGGAGCGGGCGCTCGGATGGTTGACAAAGTCGTCAAAGGTCTCGCTCCTCCGACCTTCGTCCATCTTCCCGTTCGGCCACTCCCGATCCGACATGCCCGCCGGCTGGTTCAAGACATAGTCGAGGCACCACAGGTCGTCCATAGAGCCGTGACGCAGGAACTCCTCGCGGATCGACTCCACGGGGTCACCCATCAGGCACAAGATCTCCGCTTCGCTCACGCCGAGCAGGTTGTGCAGTCCCAGCGCGGCTTGAACGGGAGCGCCGATGCTCATTTCCTGGATAGCGCCGCCAAACTTGCCGTAGCCCTCTAGCGGCCGGATGTGGCCTGCAGGGGTGGCGATACTCGCTACGGCCGCCTCGAGGGCATCGTGAAGCGAGCACTTGTCGGGCCGGGAGCCGCCAGGACTGGGAAGTGCTATTGCAGACATGCTAGTTTGCAATAAGGAGGGCGGTAAAGATAGCCGCCGGCTCGGCCGCCCACTGGGTAGGTTGGCAGCATCGTCGCCATCGTTGCCATTGTCGCCAGACGCTGCTGACCTCTCAAGCCGCTCCAGCCTAGCGTCGTAGCCCTCGGCCGACCTGGCGTCGTAGCCCCCGGTTGGCCTAGCCTCGGCCTGCGCTTGAGTGGTGGGCTGCAAGCTTGAGAGGTGCGCAAAGACCTGGCGGCGACCTCG